GCGTCACGCGCGGGGCGGCGTGTCGTTGCCGTTGCCGCCGTTGCCGCCGCCCTTGCCCCGTTTCGCGGCGTTTGCGGTGATTCCTCACCGTGGGCTTTGCTGCCCCCGCCGGCCCCGAGGCGCCGATGCCGCCGGCACCGGCCGCGGGCAGCTCCCCGCGTGGCGGATAGGGGGGTGCCCGGCAGCCACGACGGCCCCGGCCGGGCGGGGGGGTCGCCGGGAGCCCTGCGGGCGCCGGCCGCCACCCCGCCGTGGGGCTCGCCCTCCGCAGCGCGGCGCCCGCCGCACCCTGCGTGGCCTTTTCCCACATTTCACCGTGCGGGACCATAGCGGGACCCTTGCGGGCCGGGAATGTGGCCGGGAACCAGCGCAGGGGGCCCAGGCGTCCCGGCCCGCACCCTAGGCCAGAGCCCGGCGGGCTGTTCCCATGGCAACCACATGGCGGCCTCCCTCTCCCCTCCAGAACTACAGTCCCCATCAGCCCCCGCGGTGCCGCCGCTCTCAGTGCACATGCGCTCCGCCCCTCTCCCCCCACCCCTCCTCTACGCGGGCTGTGATTGGCCGCGCGCGGGCGCCAGTGAGAGGCGGCCTTGTTGGCGCTGAGGCGATGGCGGCCGCGCTGGGCCGCTTGTGGCCGCGCGGCGCCGGTCGCAGGTAACGGCGGCCCCGGCGCGGCCGGGACCCCGGCGGGGGGCCGGGGGCCCCTCTTGTGACAGCGGCGCCGGGTTCGCCCTCGCCGCTCTTTCCGCGTCCCTTAGGGGCCTCTTTCTGTGCGTTGCGTCGCAACAAGCTCTAGGACGTTGCTGTCATATCCTGTAATTTTTCTAATTCTCTTCTCTCTTTTCCTCCCAAGTCTCTTTCTCTCGCAGCAAGCTGCGGTTTCTCCTTGTCTCCGGGCTTTTTCGGTCCTTGCGRGTTCCGTGGAGCAGCCTCCAAGGAGCAGCCTCTCCCCGGCGCCCGTGGGCCTCTGCCAAGGCCTGGCGGGCGCCGCGTCCGCCTGGAGCCTGCAGCAGGTCCGCACGAAGGCGCGCGGCAACACGTACCAGCCCAACAACCGCAAGCGCAAGCGCACGCACGGCTGGGTCAAGCGCATCAGCACCCCGGCCGGCATCGAGGTCATCCTGCGGCGCATGCTCAAGGGCAGGAAGTCCCTGAGCCACTGAGCGCCACCGCCGTGAGGCCCCGTGTCACGGAGTGCCGAGGAATCCAGCCCTTCCTCCGAGAAAAACTGCTCCCCTGCATCATGGAATGCCGAGGAATCCAGCCTTTCCTGCAAGGAACACTGTGCTGAGCAGCAGCAACCAACTGTGTCTCTCCCACTAGGAATGTGCGAGGAGTTGCGCGGGTTGAGGGCAGCCTTTGAGGACTCATTAGTGGCTGCTGTTTAATTGTAAATTAGTGTGACTTGTAAGCATGACTTCAAGATAAAGCTGTGAAAACATGAGCTGTAATTAAAATGCAGTGTCTTGCTGCACTCTCTGCTAGCAGGGCAGGGGAAGCCGGTGTCCTGCTCCTCTCCGTGGCAGAATCACAGCTGCTGGAGAGGCGCAGGCAGACGCGGGGCGGTCGCGGTGGGGGCTCTGGTTCCAGTTTCCCCGTGCCGCGGCGGCGCTGCCTCTTTGCGCCCCGCTTTGTGAGGGGTTTTAGCAGGGGACGCGGCGGCTGCCGCACAGACGGGGCCGTTGCTGCCCCTTTCTTTCTGAGYGGCCGCTCTGGGGGCAGGTCCTGCGCTTTGCTCTGTGCGAGCAGACACGTAGCGGCATAAGTGCCATTTCTGAGCTAGAAACGGGGACCAGGGTGAGAGGGGCAGAATCCTCGTTAGCAAATTATTACTGGCATTTAWTGAGTGAGGCCATTCTCAGCACGGGGCTGTTGGTTAGGGTGGTCATGCACTACTAACTGTGCCCGAATTGTCTTCCCTTGCCTCTCTGCCTCCGCAGTGCCGCTAATTAACCGCCTTATTCCCGCCACGCAATTAGCACGGTCTTCCCTAATGAAGAGGTTGGCCCGCGGCCAGGACTACAGCTCCCAGCGTGCCCCGCGGTAGGACTACAGCTCCCAGCGCGCCCCGCGGCACATCCGGGTCTTGCGGCCCTTTCCCTCCCCCGCCCCTCGGCTGTTGGAACGGGCATTTCCTGCCTCAACCTAACCCCGCACGCCTTTCGGGCCGCGCTGAGTGACGGCCGCGGCGCCCAATAGCCGGCCGGCGTGCGGCGCGGCGGGCCAATAGGCTCCTGC